AAAATTTTTGAGGACATCCCCCACCACCACCCCCCCCCCTTCCTTTTTTTTTGGTTGAAGGTTGTGTTAGGTTCTATAATTTTCCTCTTTATCTTTTCTCTAATTCCTAATGAAGTCAATTTTTTTAGGGGGGGGGGGGCTTGGTTCTCTAGTTTACCAGAAATATATCTCCGGTTTTTTTTAAGAAAAAAATTATTTTTTTAAAATATTAATTTTTTTTGTTCTAGGTTATACTAGAAATTTTAGATAATTTATTATTTTTTGAGAAATTATTAAAATATACCTTAATTTTTGGATTATTAAAAATAAACCCCAAACTTTTCAAAACCTTATCTATATCCCTTTTTTTCACTTTTTTGTGTTTTTTTTTACTAAAACAGCTTTCACGGTAATCTTAGAACCGTGAAGACATCACAGTAGACTCACTACCGTGATTGTCATAGTCCAATAAACCATCACGATTATTTAAGTGTCGTGACGCTCCAAAACTACATTTGACTTACAACCTGCTATGACCATCACGGTTTTCAATAGACCGTGATGCCTTCACGATTCTAAAACTACCATGAAGGCTATTTTGTCAAACTCACCCAAAAAAGAGATATGAATGAGGTTTTAGAAAGTTTGGGGTTTATTTTCAATAATCCAAAAATTAAGGTGTATTTTTCATAATGGTGCGGTTTGTATACTCTAAAAAAATCAAATTAGGGCCCACCTTCAAATATCTAGAAATGTGGTTTTGATACTAGCAATCTTTGTTATACCCTTAAAATATATTTTTATTTTTAATTATAAAATTTAAAGCTTCAAAATGGTGTAGATCGAATAAATCTATGAAAAATTGAAAATTTTGAAAATTGACAGTCCAAGAATACGTTACAAGATGCACTATTTCCAAAACTTGAAATACAATTTTTTTCTCATATGCATGCATCTTGATGTCGAGATGATCAATTTGAAGATATTTAGGCATCAAAACAACCTCTTCTAACGAAATTTTAAGGTGGGCTTTAATTTGATTGTTTAGAACCTCAGATCTAAATAAACTTTTTCCTTTTTATATATTTCTCACTGTTTTAGTTTTCACCAAATCATTAATAAAATAGCTTTTGTTCAATTTTGTATTTTTTGAAAACTAAAGTTAATTTTTAAAAGCAACAACATGATGCCTGGGGCCACAATCGTCATGATTCCAATGAGACACCACATTGTTTTGTTTGGATTCAGTACGTATTGACTCATTTGAATAAAATATTCAAATTTAATCGATCATATGGATGTCATTATTGAGATTTAATTATTTTAAGGTGAAATAATGGTGGCATTCAAACACGAATGTAACTCTCGGAATTTGTCTTCTACAATTTCATAAAAACAAAAGGGTGCGGTTTCTATAGAGCCTAGGCTCCAAACAATCAAATTAAAGCCTACCTTCAAATAGTGTCGAGAAATGTGGTTTCACTACTGGAAATCTTTGTAACAACCTTAAAATAGATTTTCATATTTATCTAAAGTTTAAAGTTTCAAAATAAGTGTAAGTAGACAGATCTATAAAAACTTGAAAATCTTGAAAATTAACGGTCCAAAAGTGCGAAACAAAATATACCATCTCCAAAACTTGAAATCTATTTTTTTCTCATGTCCATGCATCTTGATGTCGAGATGATCAACTTGAAGATATTTGGGTGTCAAAACAACCTCTTCTAGTGAAATTTTTGAGGTAGGCCCAAATTTGATTGTTTAGAGCCTCGACTCTACAAAGTTTTCCCAAAAAAAAAATGTATTATATTTTCTAGTTTTTCATTAGTCAACTAATTTTTGTTTATATTGTTTGAAATTTTTTACCAATATTGTGTGTCGAACTTGTCCTAAGTCAACCTGTTCACCGAGTCTACAGGGACCCAGTGGGACACCTGTTTGGCCACCCGAGCCAATTTTTTAAGCTTTGCTTCTGGTTATTTTGATAAATTTCCAATAAATTTTTCAAGCCCTTAAGACGAGCAATGGAGATTAATTGTTGTTAAATTTGTTGAAGATGATGAACAAGGATGTATAGGCTTTGTTGCTCGTATTACACACATATTATGGACCTGTGTCGAATCACTCGATCAACTACTTGAATAAGATCTGTGATTAACACATTCAAGTAGTCAGTGTTGGCAAGTTATCCAATCAAATCAGGTTTGAACTGGCAGCCCTTTCTAAAGTAAATTAATAGTAGGAATCAAACTTGTAATGTAGTGCTAACACAAGCCCAAGCTTGATTCTTGGACTGGCAAGCTATGTTCAAATGTAGCTTCAACCGGCAATTAATGAACGTAATTCTGATTTTTTTTTCTTCAATGTTCTTTTGTATGATGGAGTTCGGATAAGACTCGATGATGAAAACGATGAAGATGTTCTTTGCATGATGAAATAGCACAAGTATAAAAGATATGCACCCTTTTTTGTGCATCCATAGTGTAAAGCCCTATTGGGACATCTTGATAATCATTCAAAATCTTACCTGTAGAGGGGCTTTTGTGGGCAATCGTGAAAATAAGCACTTTTCAACATTCCCTAATTGATAATAACCATATCTACAATTTGTTTGCAACATGATGATAGTTTTCTTTTTGCTTTATTCTTTAAGGCCAAAAAAGGAAAAAATTTCTAGAAAATAAGAATAGTGGCATGAGAAACTCTAAATACAATCAAGCATGAATGGTTTACATTCACCATTTCTCCCAAATTCTAGGGTTCACAACATTCTTTATTATTAGATATGCTAGTGGACTTGAACTAGCAAATTAAGACCTCAAAGTTAGTGGAAACGGTGCCTTTCTAGTTAAGCCATAGGCTTCAACTGTGATTGTAATTGAAAAGTATGACACCATCTATAGGCCAAAAGTGTTTCAAAATAACAGGGTGTTGTTTGAAGCACACAATTAGCAAAAACCATTTTAAGGTGATCTTTTTGAAAAATTACAGTTTTTTAATAATTAAAATTTCAATTTTTATAAGAGATCAACAAAAAACGAAGCGACAAAAATACTCATCCTAGATTCTTTTTTTCATAAAACCCTTAAAAAGAGAACTTCCCTTCTATTCATGTTCTTCTAAATTCAAAAATGAAATTTCCATCCTTATTCACAATATTTGTACCTAGCTAGATATTTGTTATTACTCTAATTTTAGCTAACCTATTTTCTCACTGGTCTTTGTGGCTTTATCATTTGAACCAAAAGCACGAAGTTACGAACTATTTTGATTAGCCACTATATTGTTATTCCCCAATTTGCTATCTAGAATAAGGAGTGTGAGACTAACCAAAATATTGACAACATGTTTGGTGGGTTCCTATCTATCACCATGGGACATTGATAACCCTCATAGCATCTTTTTCCCCATCAGTCTCCATAGGATGCAACCGCTTCTTCTTGTTCCATATTCCTTTGGTCCAAAATTTGAATAGCATCATCAATTATCATTCATAAACCTTATTCCGACTATTTGGGTTCAGCTTGTTCCAAAATTTGAATATACTTACTTAAATAGCAAGCATCTTAACCTTATTTTCTATTGGTTAATTGTTTCATAAGGGCATTGCCAGCAAATGCCCACATGTCTCCGCCATCATGTTACTTGGATGGTGGTCATCAACACCGTCCAAGTGAGATGGGCAGCGGAGCAAAATATGCATGCCAACATAAAAATTGCGTCCTTTTCAATTTTCCTAAACAAAAAAAAGGAAAAATATAAAATATTACTTTAAAACTAAAATCATCAAATTTTATGGTTAAGGGTTAGGTTGACTTTTAATGAAAATAGGAATTCTAGAAATAAGAGCTGACATCTTTATACATAGGTCTATCCAATATGTACTCTATGAATTTAGATAAAGATAATATAATTTTCCTCAAAAGAGTGTTTCCCTTCCTAAAAAAGAGAAAGTACTTGTTGAGATAAAAATTGAATTAGGATGAATCATGGATAGCAAAAGCAGACTCATATGTTCCCCTTTATATTTAAAGGATAAGGCTACGTGCTTATTTATATTACTTAATATACTATGTCTTAAAGAATAGTTAAGAACACATAATGTGCAAATCTCTCTCTGGGTTACCATCATATAATGCGTAATTAATTTTAAATCCACATCATTCAATAGAATTATGTATCTAACATAAATTTCAAAGAAAAAAATACCATTAACAGGGTCATAAGAATCTACAAAATCATTAACAAACCCTCACAAAATCAATAAAGGGGCCAAAACATATCAATTAGTATTAGAGGATTTCCTTTTAATTGTCATTTCTTCCGAGTGCTTCCACAAATAAATCCTTAAAAAAAAACACAAATTACTCTTGTTCAAGGTTGTAATCTAGTAACCTAAAAGGCCCCAACCAAGCAATTCAAATATCCTTGCTTGTTTAGGGTGGGCCACATTACTGAAATGCCCCTACTTTCAGAGTTCTGACCTCTAGCTATTGCCAATTTATATGTTTTTGAAAGGATTTTTTGATAGGGTGTCTGCGTAAAATGAAAATTAAGAAGTAAACCCTTCAATGTTTTAATGTCAATGAGATCTTTCACCCACTTAATGATTTTATAAGATTTTGTAAGGGGATTACACCCCTTGAATGATATTTTTCCTTATTTAAAAAGGGAAAACAGTAGCCCCTCCTCAAAGTTCTGCATCAGAATTGAAGCATATAAAGGTACTCACTTTGCAACACATTTTTTTTAACAAAAAAAAGGGTCCTTTGCAGCAGAATTGAAGCATTAAAAGGCATTCTCAAGAAATTTACAGTTGAGGCAAATGCTATCATAAATATGTCAGGCTCATAAATGATCTTAAATAATATAGCTATAAACATTAATCAAGACCATCATTGCACTTCCCAAACTTTAGCTGAGCCTAGCTTCCCTGATTGTTCTCTTGGGACAGTGACTAGAAAAATTAAAATTGAGCATCAAAATAGTATTTCTTGGATAAAGAGTTTAGAGTTTCTTACCTCTTCTGCAAATTTTATCAATATAGTTGTCCTGGGTCTTTGTTGTCCCTCCATTGGCACAAGGTAAGCAGATACAGTAGCTGGAACATTCAACGTCCAGGAAACCCTATAGGGCTAAACAACTATTATTTTAGATATACCTTAATATTGAGGAAATAAGCGCAGTTAGGTCCATTTATATCCTCGATTTAAATCATGGTTCTAAAAATAATGACTAAATCATGGTTATTACCCTTACTATGCCAGCAACAAATGCCCCACAATTGAATGTCCCCATGTCATAGGGAATTGAAATAAAACTACAAGGAAATATATGTATTAGTATAAACTCCATCTAACTGACAATAATGCAAATACTGAAGAATCTTTGTGACAAGAAACGATGTAGTGAAAGTGAAGAGTCTAAAGAATAGCAATGTTACCTGTTCACCAAGAGCTCTTTCTCACTGATTATGTATTCATCTTCAATCTCTATGCCTTTCTCAAGGGAATGAGCCACCGATATCATTCAACCCGGGTTACATACAATCCACATAATATGCATAGTAAAAATTACAGTGGACTGAAGTGCTCATTAGTAACCATGAATGGTTAAGAAATGTGATTACAGAACACACACACATATGCATGCACACATTATAAATATAGCTATGGAACCAAATCCAGCTTCATGCTGCTTCTAGCCGCTCCATAAGATAAGATAATTACCCAAAAGACATTATAAAGTGGTGGAGCAACAATCATAGAGTAGCCAACATGGTCAACACTTAATGCAACAAAATAAGTTATGTAACATACATAATAGACTACCATAGACCATATAGAACTGTCCTCTTCATAAATTACAATAACCTTTTGTCGGCTTTTTGGTGGACCTATTCAGCCTAATGCAAACGCAACTATTTAATCGCAACGACAAATAAGTTAGTGTTATCAAAATCGTTTTGGATCCTGCTTCAAAAAACTATAAGACAGATTTCAAGCCTCCAAGTGGAGAGAAATTTGACAAATAGAATAATGCTTCTTACCATGGTTTTGGCAGCAATAACATCATCATATGAAAAATCTCAATGACAACACAGTGTTAAGACCGCATGATCTTTCAGTTCTATTGTATTCTACAATGCAGGCTTACTAAGTAGCAACGTATAAAGATATACAAGATCAATTCCTGTAAAGTGATATTGTATTAAGAAAGGTGTAAGGTGGACCAAAGAGAGGGGTGCAGGAAATCGAACTTTCTTGGTTGATCTATGAAAGGAAAAGTGAAGGTAACGGAGAAGAAGTGGGTGCTTTAAAGCTGTGAATATGGAGCGGATAGCAGCGTAAGGGATGAGAGAGAAAGTTGGAGGAGAGAGAAAGGAGTTGCATGGCCATCTAGTCTCTTCTTTTTCACTCCTCGCTTTTACTTGCCTATCTTTTTTTTTCTTAGGGAAAATAACGTTCACCCTAATTTTGTGCATCGAAGGCTATCTATCTCATTAACTTTTTTTTTCTTAGGAAAATAGCGTACACCTTAATTTTGTGCATGGTAGTCTATCGATCCGCATTAACTTTTTTTATAAGGAAAATATCTCTGTATCTTCATGTTTAAGATTTATATCTCAATAGGCTCATGATTTTAAAACATTTTTTAGATCATAAAAATTTTAAGTTTTATATATTTTAACTCTTTAAGCTAACTTTATCACTTTTAAATATATTTTTTACTCCAAACAAATATAAGAAAGATATATTATTTCTAAACATCATCCTTTCTCTTTTTTTAAGTGATTTTCCCTTAAATCTCTTTATCTATTTTCCCACTTTTTCTCTCCACCGTTAGAGAGAGAGCGTGAATGTTAGAGAGAGAAAAATTTGGAAAATATATCACCTAAAAGAAAAAGAGGTTAGAATGAACATGCCTTTTTTATATTGGTTAAGGTTAAAAAAGTAGTTAAAAGTGGGTAAAGTTAGTGAGGTGGTTAGGAGATATATTTGAATCTTTGGGTTTATCGAGATATGAAAACCAAAAATAAGAGGTACAAGGATATTTTCCCTTCTTAAAAACCTATATTCGACCCCTAATACCTGTTGACTCAAACATTTTGCTTTCTGTTTCCTTATTTTTCCCTAAATAAATATATAAAGGCATCTACACCCAACTTTTTTTCTTTATTTTTTACAAGAGTAATGAATATTTTTATAAATAAAAGTTATTACAACATAGTTAAAATAATAAAGTAGATACAAACAGAGAGTCCAACCATACTCTTTCTTCGCTAAATCATCAACTGTGGAACTTGCTTCTCTATAGACGCGATGAAAGGCAACAGTCACATCTGAATATAACTCAATTACTTTTTACAATATGGTTAAAATTCGTCAAGGAGGTCTTAATAAACCTTTACACCAAGTAATGGCATTGTGAGAGTCTCCTTCAATGATCAAATTATTCGTCATACCTCTCTCCATGTAGATTAGCAAGCCTTGCAGCAAAGATTCCAATTCCGCATGATTAGCCGTAACCTCCCCACAATGCCCTGCATAACAAAATACTCTCTGACTCTCGTGATTGCGACTACCCCCAACTCCTGAAGGCCCAGGATTATCAAAAGAAAAGCTATCAAAGTTTAGTTTCATACAGTCCATTGCTGTTGGAATTCAAATATATAGTGGCCTCACCTTAATAGATCTTTTCAAAACCAATTTATCAAAGTTTTGTTCAACATCGCTCGTAGAAATTCCCCAACCTACCTTTGAGGATGCTAAACCAACTCCATACACAAAAATGAATTTTGCTTTTTAATTTATGCATTCCTATAGCCAAACCATCAAAAGTACGCATATTCCTTTCAAGCCATAATTCCCGTAAAAGTGCACCCCTCAAAATATCCCATAATAAAATGCTTATCTTTGGAAGCCCAAAAATCTTCATATGACTCATTAAGAAGTTAGTCGAAGAAGGAATAGGTAAACGCACCCCTATTTTCCACATCGCCCAACACGATAAATGATAGGTATAAGGGCAATATAAAAAGGGAAATGTTTATATGCTTCCCCTACAACATAGAAGTTCTATCATCTCCCTACCATCCAGTTGTCCAATCTTGATCAAGAGAGTCACTCACCATTTGATCTTAAATCCGACATCTCAAAGTATTTTATTTTTAGTTTTTTTTATACAAATTATATGAATATGAAATTTGGAACGTGCCATTTTCTCATTGAGGCACACCTATAAAAAATATTAAAACTAATTTTTCGATAAAATATAATGATCAAAATCCCCCTTAAAAATTTCAAGGGTATTTTGATCATTTTATTTTATTGAAAATATTTTTTTATATTTTTTACTAATGCGAGTTTAATAGAGGAATGGACGTCTAAAATTTGGTGTTAAAATAGTTTAAAGAAAAATAATTAAAAATAAAATAGTGTAGAGACATGACATTGTGATTGGGGCAATCTTAGCCCTTTCTTTTGTGACAAAATCCATATAAAAACTTGTACCTTATGGGGTATACGCCATTTCCAGATATCCTTTATAAGATAGTGGTTCCATCTAACCCTGCCATGGAATAATAAAGTATATGCAGATTTCACTGAAAAATTGTCACTTGTTTCCAAATCCCAAACTACCGTATCTTTTGCATAATGTGAAAGATAAAACCCATCCAATGTCTTGAGCATATCAATATATTGGTTCACCGCAATGTTAAGAATATGGTGGTTAGGTGCCTCTTTCTCGCCTTCCGGATCTAGATGATCTGGTGGCACGTACCTTAGGTTTCTGGTGAACCTGAGGTTTGAAATCGCTCTCTCCGAATCTTGCTTGAGAGCAAGGGCAGATATACAAACCGATTGGAGGGGAATTTTAGGTGGGTTCGGGACTTACTCTGGCTGGCTCGTATGAGCGCCCTCTTAGATCACGAAAAAAGCCCCCCAGCTGCTTTAACTGGTTCGGAATCGCCTCCCTCAACCTGCAATCCTCTTATTTTATGCACAAAACTTTTAGGGTTAATTTGTAAGACAAATGGGTCAAGGAGACCCACCCTTGTCTTAGGGAAACGTACGTTCATGTGAGAGCATGATGAAACGTAAAGTTTTAGATAAAGATAGAAAAAAGAAAAAAAACTCGATGAAGAGGTGAAGCTAGCATGACATCCTGACAATTATCGACTCGGAGTGGTAGCAAGATGGGCATAGTCCTCAGGACCAGCACGGCGGCAACACTACTCAAAACCGAGACCGATATGACAGTGCTAAGCTAGATCTACCCTCAGTCAAGTTAGAAGAGAAAAAGATGAAGAGAAGAGAGAGAGACGACAGAGGGAGGAAGAATCCATATGGTAATAGGCATCGTCGTTGGTAGCACGAGGAGGCCACAGGTCCCTAGCCAGCAGCGATGGCTCCTAATGAGGTGCATGGCGATAACTTCTCATAGGTCTTGCGACGATTACTTCTCGTAGGGCTCACAATGATGGGCGCAGAGAAGCGCAGAAGAAGCAAGCGCGCGGCGACGAGTATTGTCATGACCCTTTGCCGACGGCGATAGGTATTGTCGTTTGCAGCGGTCACGCGACAGGGTGAAGCCCATGCAGGTGGCAATACGCTTCGTTACCCGCATCCTTCACTGAGGCGCTTAGGATACATCTGCAGACGACGATGAGCAGTGTCATCTGTAGGCCTCGCGAAAGAGATATAACAGAGAGAGAGAGAGAGAGAGAGAGAGAGAGAGAGAAAGATATATGCGCATGGAATTGCCATCGCCATGCGCGACCTGTGAGGCTACCAGAGAGGCATGCACAGCACTGCCACTACCGTGTATGGCCTCTGAGGAGAGCTCAGACGGGGAAGAAGAAGAAGAAAGAGAAGAAGAGAGAAAAGAAGAGAGAGAGAGAAGAAAAGAAAAGAAGAGAGAAGGTTTATCTCGAACCTAAGGGTACCGATCGAAAGTTTCTCTCACCTCACTCTCTCTCAAGCGTAACACAACAGTGGGAAGAAAGAGAAACTATATTCAATAAAAACTCTCTCTTTTGCAAGGAGATGGATCCTGTGTGTGTGTGTCCTTTTCTGCGTACAATGCTTGTACGTATATACAGAATTTGCCCCAAACATGGGTGGATGATCAAAAGTAACCCTAATTGCTGGAAATTAAGATTAAATTGAATTAAAAGAAATTATAAAATAGGGTACAAAATGACAAATTTGCCCCTTCCTAACAATTTGTGGAATTCCATTACAATCCCTGTGCTGCCCTAGAACTTACGTGATCTTGTATGGATGATCCGGGGTCATTCTGATGCCCGGTTGATTGTAAGATGATTGTTTTCTTGTAGGGATCGACATGGCAATTTATTTGATACCAACTTCAAGTCATGGATCGTGTCTTTAGCGCACGTTCCTGTGACTTGAAATTTAAGTGAATCTTGAAATTTCGGATCGATAGTTTACTCGTTCCTTGATGTTTTTTGGTGATTTCTTTGCTGAACTACACTAAGCATGCCATTATGATCGTGGGGCAACAAACGCAGCTCGATTTCGTGCCCAAACGAAGATTTCGTAACTTTGGAATTTTGGTCGAAATCTGGAATTTCGGCGACGGAATTTTCAGTTGCTTCATCGGCTTCGTGTGCAGAATCCAACCGTTCATCATATATGGGGTTTGGGCCAGTGATAGCACGAGACCTTACGCCTGCAATGGAATTAGTCTCGCGTCGATCGGGCTCGTGAGCGGAGAGATCCGGCCGCTTGAGCGAGACATGACGCTGCTGAATTTCCTGCACTTTCTTCGCGGATCCGCACCTTCTCTCTATCTTTTCTTTACGCTCAGTTGTCATCACGGTGCATGCCACACACTCGTCTTGACTAGACGAGCATGCTCACCAAATTTGAGCGCGATCTAATTTGGGACAGGTGAGATATGAGCGTCGAAAGTCATGATCGTGACTGTCCCTTTCATGGCGTGGAGTTGTAGGGTGGTCGCACGGGAATAGCGTGTTGCCCCTCCTGTTTCACTCTTTTGCCTATAACTTCTTTCTGGAGTGTCTGTTCGATCTAAAATTTTGACCCTTAGGGGTTTTCAACTGTGTCGGTTCCAATGGTGGTTGTCCCACAACAAATTGAGACATCGAAAATGTAGCTCTAGTTATGGGGCTATTATGAGGCTGTCAAAATTTCCAGTATTTGTTGGGCCTTTATTGAACGGGGGCCCCATGTTGATGAAAAATACCTTCCAACATATAGTTATAAAGACAATTAATATTCCATGCCACAAATAACTATTCTTTAATACCCATCTCATTAACCTTAGCCATAGGAGATGAACATATGAGAAAAACATCCGGATATAATCATTTAAAAGATATATTTGAAGTCTATTTTGAATGCCAAAATAATACTAAATCTCCCTTTCCCCATCATGAATAAGAAAGAACAAAATGGCGCATAGAAGAGATTGCCCTCCAGATATAAGATTGTTTCCCCTTTGTCCATGAGCAATAATAAGATTACAAGGGTCCAAATCATATTTTGCTTGAAGTATATCCTTCCACAAACACTTCTCATTTTTGCATTTCTCTCCAATAGAGCTTGATTTACATATTTTAATTTTCTAATTCCCAATCCCCCTTCAATTTTTGGACGACATACTATGTCCCAACTTACTAGATGATATTTCATCACATCTTTATTACAGCCCCATAAGAAATTCCTCATTAATTTCTCCACTTGTTTAATAACATCACATGACATACTTGATAAGGACATTTGATAGATAGGTAGATTAGATAGGGATGACTTTATCAAAGTAACTCTAGCCCCACGAGATAATTGTTTTTATTCCAAATGTCTAACTTCTGATTTGCCCTTTTGATAATTGGATCCCATAAAACCTTTGGTAGCTTGCGATCAAATAAAAGAATTCCCAAATATGTAATTGGAAAGCATTCCATTTTACACTTCAAAATCTCAGCAAGATAATTCACCACTATATTTTGGCATCCCACATCAATTATTGATGTTTCTCCAAAATTTACTTTGAGGCCCAAAGTAAATTTGCAACATCTAAGGAACCTTCTAATAGTCATTATCTGATCAACATCTGCTCCACAAAATAATAGGGTGTCATCTGCCTATTGTAAATAAGAAATAGTAGGTGCACCGCCTCGGTCTGTGCTGCATAAACTTAAACTGCACAACCCTGATCTGTGTTGTATAACCTTTAAACTGCACAAGCTATGGTTCAAACTATATGACCTTAAACTATAGAGGAGGTCTAGTCACACAAGCTTAAACTATAATGTCTTGGTTGTATGACTTTAAACTACATGACCATAGTCCAAGCTCTATGACTTTAAACCATAATGCACATCCTGGCCGCATGATGTTAAAATGCTTTGCCCAGGTCTAGGAGGCATGACCTTAAATATGCCCCCATACATGCGTACATGCCCTTTACGTGCACCTTCGTGCACATCTTCGCTAGCCGTTGCGACTCGCTAAGGCTGGTGCCTCCAAGCTCTCTGTTTAGAGAGTCGAAGTCTGAGCATTGTCAAGCTGCACTTGCAGGAGAAATAGAAAAGGAGGGAGGAGAAGAAGAGTTAAAACGTTGGGGGCAGCTTTTTACGTCGTCCCCGGAATTGGACGCTTGTAGGGGGTATTTAAGGTCTTGGCCCGGCTTTGACCATTGTGGGGTATTTTTAGCATCATCACCCATATTGAAGGACTCCGAGCTATTAATGACTCAGGGACGTCCATCTGATTGGATGAAAGGACAAGGCAAGCTGCGCTTGGGATGAAGTCCTGCAAGGTCGGCAATGGGAGGAGAGGCCTTAGAAATTCTTCATTGGCTGGTGGCTGAGGAGGACGATTCCTTCGGTGGGCTGACCTAACTGCTCACCATCTCCTTTTGGATCCCTGAGGAGGTGTTTGGACTGTCTTATTGAGCTGATGAGTAGCCCTGGCTTGATGGACTGCCTCACGCTTCAAGGATTTGAGCCTTCTTCGCCCATGGTGGACTTCCCAGGGTTGAGAGGTCAAGGGCTCTGAAGGGTTCAGTGTATGCTCATGAGGGGCTTGTAGTGTGCCTTCCTCTTAAATGGGAGCGATGGCCTGGAAGCGTTCTGGGAGAACAGCACAAACGATATGGCCATGCTAGACTTTCTTCGTGACTATATCTTCAAACCCAAAGCAGTCTTTGAGTTCGTGGCCCCATACTTGGTGATATGGGAACCAAAGTTTTCCGTGCCCTAAGCAAGATGCCTCTGCTGCCTGGCGGGCTTAGGAGTGACGAGACCTTGCTAGAGCATTGCTTCGAAAAGGGCCTGCAGAGGGTCTTGCTCAATGTTTTCTTGGGCTTGAGTCAGGAGGTCCTCTGGCACCGGTGGGATAGGGACTTGAGGGTGTCGTTCTGGGTTACCCTGAACTTCCTAGCATTGTTAGATCTTCTTTGTTAAGAGCTCGTCGAAGCCGGTGCATTCGTTGATGTCATGGCCTCGTATCTGATGGTACGCACACCAGAGGTTCTCGATTCCTGAAGGCAAGAACTTAAGTTGCCTTGTCGGCTTGGGTGTGATGAGTCCTTCTTCAAGCATTATGGAGAAAAATGCACAAAGGATAACGGGTGTGTCGTCACCTTCTTGGATTGTCACTATATGAGAAGCCTCAGTTTCCTTGAACGTCTTCTTTAACTCTTGGAGCTTTATCCGAACCTTGTTAATAAGGGCTTCGATAGTGTTGTTGAACTTATAGCAATCATGAGTAGGGTGGCCTACTATCTTGTGATAGGCGTTATACCTCTCTTTTGTCTCCTGACCAGCCGGCTCGTCAACAGCTGGATCATATTCTATTCTAACAGCAGTCGAAGCAGTGCAGGAGTCCACTCCTTGTCGAAGGGGTAAACTTTGTTTTGGTGCTGGATCCAGAAGTCATTTCGCTTAGAATTTTTAGGAGGGGGGACCTCATTGTAGGATTGCTGCTTGCCCCGGGCCTGAGGTCTGTGCCTTTGAGAGGTCCAAGGTTTAAGGAGTTGCGCTCTTAGTGTCAGTCAAAGTGACGGTCGCGCTGATCACTGCCTTTTGGTTGCCCCAATTGTTGGAGCGAGAATTTGAGTCGGAGGGTTGTTGTCGAGAGCTGTCGTGGTGTTTGAACAATCCCTCAATACGAACTGCCTTAGAGATGAGCTTTGACATGGAGGGATTGGATGCCTTGACATGCAGGGTGATCTCGGGAAGCATATTCCGTATGCAGGTCTAGACCGCTTCTTTCTCAGTCATGGGAATGGCATGAAAGGTTGCCAACTCTCTCCATCGAGTGATGAACTTGTCAACCAGCTCACTAGGGTCTTGCAACAGTGTGAGGAGCTTGATGGTTTCCATGTTCCTTTGGACTTTGTAGAAGCATTGGTAAAATAATTGGTCTATTTCTTGCCACATGTGCACCGAGTTTGGAGGCAGCCGAGCATACCACTGAAAGGCTGGCCCTTCAAGAGTCTCGATAAACTGATGGAGGAGAAGTCGCCCGTCAGTTGACGTCTCCCTACAAGCTGCTTGGAAGTGTGCGGTATGCTGGTGAGGGGACGTAGTACCGTTGAACAGGGGGAGTTTCCCTTTTTGGTAGTTTGGGGGAAACGACACCTAGTCAATGTACAAGGG